CCTCACCACCCACGAGCTCCGGGCTCCGCGCCGGCTGCGCTCGCCGCACCTCGCGCTCGCGGCGGCGGTGGCTTCCGTTCCGGCTGCGCGTCGGCTCCCGTTCGGACTCCGCGCAGCGCCGGGTCCCCGCAGCTCCTTCCGTCTGTCGGGGAGAAGCGGCAGCCTTCCTCCCTACCTCCCGCGCCTGCCGCCTGCACCGGGGTAACCATGGAGACGGGGCACACCCAGTCAGGGCCGCCTCCTTAAAGGGACAGACTTCCCGCGGAGGGATCCCCCTTCCCCTGGGACCTCGGTGGGGGCAGGGAGGCGACCGCCTCCCCTACGCCGGGCACGCGGGCCCCGAGCGGACCTGGCTGCCCCGCCCGCCCCTCGGAGCACAGCTAGCGGGTGCCCAGTTCCGCTCTGGCTGACTCAGGCGCAGTGGCGAGGCGGCTGTCTCTGCAGCCTGGGCGTTTTCAGACAGTCTCCTAGCAGCCTCGCCTCGCCTCCGCCGTAGGGACCGGAGGAGGGCAGGCGAGGGGGGTGTATGGTATAGAAGATGCTTTCCCCAAGAAAAATGTAATGGGAAGGGGGATTGGGCAACTTGGCGGACGTGGAGGAGGCCCTGTAGTTGGTGGAGGCTGGGGATTACTCCTGGTTCGCCTAGAGGGGCTCCAACTGTACACACAGAAGGGGTGTGTGTGTGTGTGTGTGTGTGTGTGTGTGTGTGTGTGTGTCGCGGCGGGAGGGGAGCATCTGAACACAGCGTCTGGGTATTCAAGCCTTTCTCAGCCTCAGCTTGACCCTCTGGAAAATGGATCGAGCTGCTAGTAGGGAGATGCCGCTGCAGGCAAGAGCTGTCAGGGAATGGGAGGGTGGGTCGCTCTGGGAGTAAGGTTCAGAGGCTCTCTGTGTGTGCCCTGGAGGTGGAAAGAGGCGTGTGTGGGGCGGAGAGAGCCCTAGAGCCTTGGTCTCGCTCCTATATTTCTTTCAAGAATTTGTCACCTTTTGCCGCTCCCAGGCCGCGCTAGAAGGTCGGGTTGCGAGTACAGTCAGACACCGCGGACAATTCCCTAACCTTGTGTGTGTGTGTCCTTGCTAGAGATGGTCAGGAAGACAGTCCCCCAATCCAATCCTAGAGAACTGGCCTCTGCGCTGGAAGGGGAGCTGCTGAGGGGTGGCCGCGGCAGCCATCCTCCTGCCCTCCACCTCCCCCACGCCAGGGGCTGGGGATGAGAGGCCCGCGGGGCAGAGCGGAGCTGGCCTGGGTCTGCCATCTCCGGATCGTCTCCCGCGCGTGGCTTTTCCCCCGAGCCCAGCACTGCCAGCGCCGCTCCTCCTCCCTCCCACGATTTGCCAGCTAGCGCGGCTGCCGCCCTCGCGCCGCGGAGCTGCTGAGGCCAAAACAGCAAATTGTTCCCGAGAGGGTGAAGCGGAAGGCTCAGCACCCCCACCCTTCGAGGAGACACACCCACAGTCAGCAACATCGGAAAGGAGGTCCCCCGCTCCACCCACCTCTCCTCAGCGACGCGGACCAAAGCCCCAGACACCTGTATTTAAATAAGCTGGTGCTTTGAGGAGAAAGGGAGAAAGCGCCTTCCTCAGTCCTCTGGATCCTGAAATCCAGCTCCCGGATCGGGAGTGACCCTAAGAAATCCGCAGGTCATGTCTTTGCTCCTCCAGCCGCTCATCTATTCCCCTCCAGGCAACATACAAGCCTTCTGCTAAGGAAAAAGTGCAGTTTAGGAATCAGCTCAGTTTGAGAGACAGGAGGAGCCTGTTAGATTAAAAGCAAGCACCAAAAGCACCCACCAAAGGCACCCACCAACTTGGGAACCAGGCTTCCTAGGTTTGAATACAGTTCTGGCCCTTACTGTCTGTGTGATTTCTGTAAGGCAAGCTATTAAACCTTTCTGTGACCCAGTTTTCTTGTCTGTGACATGGGGATGGCAATAACAACTTAAAACAAACTGAAAAGGCTTCTAGTTCACCTGTCTGCACTAGTTTGGGGTATTAAGCCAAACTAGATACCTCGGGTCAGGGTGAGCAAGGAGGTAGGCTGGCATGTGTGTGGGGGCCTCAAGTTATTAAAATAGCTTACATTGTATTAAGTGACATACCAGGCACTGTGCTAAGTGCTTTATTTGGATTATTTTACTAATCCTTGCAATAACTCTATGAGGTAGTTACTGTTGTTAGTTATGAATGCCAATTTACAGATGAGAAAATTGAGATGGAGAGGTTAAGTAGCTCGACCAGGAGGTACTGCCTCCTCTAGCAGCTCCAGGCACAATGCCCGTGTCACTGTTCTGGTGCCCTGGTCCCCACTTTCAGAAAAAGAAAACACACTAACGTTTATTGAATGTTGTGATCACTCTTCTTTCTCATCCCAGAGAGTAGCTGCAGTGTGCTTGGCCTTTAAGCTCCACTCCCTGTTGCTCTTCAAAGCATCTGTGTGACTGGGTGTCCAGGGTTGGGGTAGTCATTGCCCCTTTCCTTTAGGCTGGCCTCATGGAAAGAGTCCTTTCTGTCTAGATGAGTGTGTTCAGGGGTAGGATCTCAACCCACTGTCCTCCCTGTTCACCTTTACCTATTCCCTCAGGTCTTCCTGCCAGTCCTGGCTTTTGTTTGCACAGGTTCCTTCAGCTCTTAGTGAAATTAATTCCCTGCCTTTCCCTTTTACCCCCCACCCACACACACACATACATACATAAGCAGCAGGGACATGCCCTTAGGAGACAGTAAGATGAGGGCTGGGGAGAAGGAATTTAAAATTGAGCAGGGCACTAAGAGGTTGGGGACCATTGGCCTCCTCACTGTAACCCCATTTACCTCTCCCCTTCCCCCAATCCCTGACTCATTCGGACCACCCCACCATGGGGAGTCACTGGGAGGGGAAGGTTGAGGGGGAGCATTGTTCAGAGACAGCTCAAAGCCTTTGTCAACAAGAAGCAACTCAGGAGGCTGCATTTTGGAGCTTCCGTGGGAGGTCTGTAGGAGTATTATCTACAAAAAGGAACAAGGAGGGAGAGAAGGGAAGAGCAAAGCAGGGAAAAAAAACCCTCAAGACACAAAAGATGGAAAAAGCCCCTGCCTCCCCTAAACAGCGTGGGTGGAATCAGACAGTGTGTGCAGGGGGTGAGAACAGGTGGCTGTCGAGGAACAGAGCCCAGGGGCCTCTCCTCTCTCCACCCCTCTTCCCACTCTCTACACCCTCCTTCCTGGAGGTCCCCAGGCCTGCTCTACCTGTTCAGATCCCAGCTCTCTGTCAGTGGCCAGGCTCTGCTTCTAAGGTTGTATTGTGTGGTGGGAAAACCATGGACTTTCAAGTCAGACAGGACTGGGTTCAAATTCTAGCTCTGCCACTGATTGGCTGGTTGATCTTGGGTGGAAGTTACTTGATCTCTCAGAGCATCAGTTCCCTCATTTGTAAAATGAACTTCCTCAGAGGAAGAATTAAATGAGGACCCAACAGAAGCTTGGAAAGTGGTGGCAATTATTATTGAAAAGTCCCCTCTGAGCACTTACTCTGGCCCTGGGTGCTGGGACCAATGGAAAAGAGGTCAGGATGAAGCCTCATTGAAGCGTCCCCATCCCTATCAAAACATTTTGGAATACTTCAAGCCCTCCAACACCTGGCTGTCTCATTCCAGGCTGTTCCCTTTCTTTTACTGGAGGAGCCTAGCTGGAGTGTGAGTAGTTCATGGTAAACGTTCAGGCAAGGGAATCCTAAGAGGTACATATAAAGACAGGTAAATACAGATGAGAAAACTGAGACTGAAAGAAGTTAAACACTGATGGCTAGTAAATGAAAGAACCAAGACTTGAAGCTAGGTCTGAACCAAGCTTTGACTAGGTTGATAGCAATTTGCTACTGAGTCATGTTTCTGGGTGCTTTGTCCTGTCCTTTGGTAAACAGCCTATTAAAAGGGAACAGCATGGTCATTTTGATGAGTGACCAGACTATGAGTCCTACAACAGCATCCTAGACTTGGCCCACGGAGAGATCCTGCAGTTGACTCCAGAACCCACAGCCTGCCAGGATAGTCTAATACTACTGCCTGCAGCAGGGAATGGAATGCCTGACCTCCTAAGGAATCTTCTCATTCTCTGTGTTCTAGCAGCACCAGCAAACAGGTGTGTTTGAAGGCAAGTTACAGAGAAAGCCTAACTGGGTTGAGTTGAAGAGAGACATAAAAAGGAGACCTGACTTTTCCCCGAGGAATCCGAGTGGGTGGTATTTGTTCCTGCTGTTTTGACGGCAGTGAAGGAGCGGGAGGGAGGGCAGAACAGTTGTGCTGGTGATGGTGGGTGAGTTTCTTCACCCAGAAAATTCTTCTTCAGATAGTATTTCCTCCTTGGTAAGGATTAGCAAAGCTGGTAAATAAACTCCTTCATCGCCTGAATGGAAATAATGTTCTCTGGCTTTCCCGTGGGAAACCCTGGCCCCAGCTTCACTCCTGCATGCTGCTGCTGTGGTGACCGTGTTTACTGAGGTCAGCTACATGACCATCAGGCCTATTCCATCCAGCTCTGAAACTGGGGAAGGGGTGTGCTGTCTGGCAGACACACAAGGACGGCACAGAGCTCACCAGGCTGGAGGGATACATATTCAGAAGAGAAGAGCTACAGGAAGATTTGGATGACTGAATCTTTACTTTTCGGTAATAAGGTCTGTATGGCTGGAGATAGGCGAAGTCTTCTTTCGTATACTTTGTAACAGGGAAGGTGAGACAGAAAAGCAAAGGAGTTATGGCGAGAAAGTGTTCAACTTGTCACGGGTTAGCTCAGGCACCTAAGATAACACATGTCCTGGTAAGATACCTCCTCTTGCCCCTCCATGAAGGAGTTA